GAGCCACTCACAGCGCTTGAGACTACAAAGCTCCTAAGCACCGGTCGCTGTGATTGGTGGTGTCCAATCGAGCCGTGGTCAATCAGGATTACCCCCTTTCCTCTCCTTCTATCTTTCCCCTCTACCACACTATCTCTTTGTCTTTCACATGCTTTAAATGTTTCATTAAATTATAAATTAGAACGATGAAATTAAAATGGATATTAAACCCTTTGAGTATTGGATTGTATTCTAATTACATTGATAAAATTGTTAGAGAAATGTCGTAACAGAGCAAAATGGGACAATAATTGCGTGCGATGAGTATTATGAAACTATTGACATACAAATCATACAATTATTTCAGTACATCGAATTCTAAGAGCGTTTCATACAATTCGATGTACTGAAATACTTGTTAGACTTAATTGTATGACAATAGGCATCATAATACATGTGGCACGCAACTATTGTTTAATTTCTCAATTTTACAAAAATTTCTCTAACAATTTTATCTAAAGGTGCGTTCCGTAACGCACATGATGCGCATAATGCATCCATTGTCCTTGTTTAACATTTGGTGAGCAACAAGGATAAACGACGCATTATGCGCATCATGCGAGAAACGGAACGCACCCTAAGATATCGCGTTCGTAGTATTTATTACATATTTATGACAAGTTTTATGAGAAACACGATCGTGCTTTTTAGCATTCAAAGAATTATGAATGTTTAAAACAAAAATGTAAGCCAAATACACTTTAAAAGCTTATTATTATCTCAATTATAAAATTGTTATTACCTTGTAGATGTTCAATGATTCCATTTTGCTCTAGCTTCTTGAAACAGTTGGAGGAATAAGTTTGAATTCACCGTAATAATGCTCGATACAACGGTTTACTGTAATTTACTTTCATCACTCAAATATTAAATGTCTTTTAAGTATGTAGATATCTAGTCACAGTGTTTCCACGGGAGGGCTCCGATTGCACACATCGCATATTGCACACATGTATCGCTGATTGGCCAATTTAAAAATAAAATAATCTCATTGGCAAAACAGTG